CCCCCTCCTCTCTCTCTCTCTCTCTCTCTCTTTCTCTCTCTTCCGCCGTTTAATCTAGATCTTAATCTTCATCTTCGGTACGCCATCTCCGCGCCGTTTTATGCTTCCTGGTGGAACATACGAATAAAATAGGAGTCCCCTGTCTTTATTTCGCCACGATAAAACGCGGTTGCAAAACGTGCACGCATGGGGATGTAAACCCGGATCGCGTTTTTCCGAAAATTTGAAAGGGACACTCCGAGTTTTCGCAGTTTTTTTTTAAATTCTCAACGTTACGTCGATTTTCACTCGACACTGTTTGAAGAATAAATTTCTGTTATCTGTCCGCGGCTGCGAAGCGTAATGTTCGAAAAGCTCCTTGTTTTTAATCGCTCGTTCTCAAACTCAAGAATTCCATTTACGTCTCGACACTATCGTAAAGGACAAATCGGCTCGAAATTAGTTAGGTAGAAAAAAAGGGAAGGGTTTATGAAGGGATGTCCTATATTACGCGTTTGTTCAAGCAGGGACTTGACGCGTTCGTTTTTTTGAACGTAGAAAATTATGACAGCTACTGACAGCAAAAATGTGAATAGGTAGTTACGTTGATCATGCATAAATATTCTTTTTTTGAAACGCTAATAAAAGTCTATTATCTGTGAAAACAGTCGTTTCGATAAAAATAAAGTCCGCGGCCTCTCCCGCTTCGGAAACGTTTGCGCTGAAAATATATCTCTTTTTTATTTTTATTTCATGCAATTTTATTTCATTTTGTAATATATCTTAACAGCTCGATTGTTGATTCAGTTTCGTACGTTTCGAAAAAAAATAACGACGTTATTCATTTTTAAAAGAATCATATTTGTTTTATCTTGACAGGTCGATACGGGGTACGCCCGTTCGGCGGTGTTTTCGAAAGTTACAACACGGTACTTATATTTTCATTTTCTAACGCGCATTTAATTTACGTTCAGTCACGTCACTGATTTTACCTTGACACATTTTCGATGTAACATCACATCCGCGTGTATTTTCTTTTTATGTTACATATTACAAAACGTAGCGAGGCGAAGAATGTGCTTCAGTTTCGCGTTTCTTACTTCGGAAACAGAACAGCTTGCACCTCTGCCATCTGCTATCGAACAGATTTACGTCATCTTTATTCATTTGACCCGATTTTTTTCGCCCATTGTGTTTCATTCGAATTCCATTCCGTGCCGTAAATATTTGAGGACCAAAGGTAATATGGCGAACACGCATGTAAAAGCCTATATTTGGAGACGGGCAATATTAAGCTCATTAAGTTTATTTGGAAAAGCGCGTGTCAACGAAATTTTCAATTCCAAATAATACGACCTGTCGTGCAATTATATAAAGTAAACAATTGCAATATTCGAGGTAAACTAATTAAGCGAGTCAATTTAAATAATGAATAATAAAAAAATGTCACTAATTAATCAGATGAGAGAAAGAGAGAGAGAGAGAGGGAGGGGGGGGAGAAGGAAGAGAAGAGAAAATCTGGTACGTTTTATTACTAAAGATTCAGTAGTAAAATTTTATTAGTAACGGACAAAAATGCTTCTTTTGTTTTCAGTCAATGCATAGGCA